CCCCTAATTTGATGAAAATAACGTACGAGGATGGATACGTAGACGTGAATACTATTTCAATTATTATCGTGTGGCAGAGAAAGAAAAAATGATTTATGTGGCTGTCACAGTAAATGACACCTTGGACTGTTGGTTTGATTCCTATGTCATTGACCATGGGGGCATAATTAATTGGAGACAATTTTGTTTTGACCTTTGCGAGAGGTATGATGGCACCGGACCTCTAGATGTGGTGACTGTATTCAATAGATTACAACAATGGGACGACGTGCTCAGTTATCAAAAGAGGTTCGAAGAATTATGTTGTAGAGTGCAGGTGGTGGGACCACACCTCGATGAGCTTTACTTTGTGACATGTTTTGTGGGAGGACTGAAAACGGAGATTGGACCAATGGTGAAGGTCGCTAATCCAAAAACACTGGTAGTAGCTTATAATATGGCAAAACTATGAGATGGCCACAAAAGCTTCAATAGAACAACAAGCACCCAAGACATATAAATCTGGTTCTTATACTTACCAAAACACCAAAAACCAAAACACCTTTTCAAAATTCCAGTTCCTACTCTTACCAAAACACCAAACCCCAAACGCCATTTCCAGTTCCAAAAGCCCAAGCCCCAATTAAAGCACCACTAACTAGAAACATCACTAGAGAAATTCCCATAGATAGGAGCCTTTGCTTTCGTTGCCATGAGAAGTGGTCTCCCGGACATCAATGCAAAAATAGAACATTGAATGCATTGGAGGGAGAAGAAACATTTGTAGAAGCCTCTGATGCTGAATTATCAAATGAGCCTGGTGAGGAAATGGAAGAAGAGCAAGGAGAGGTGTCGTTAAATGTCCTTATGGGCCTTGAACAATCTCCCAATACCATTAGAATTTAAGGTTGGGCTAGAAAGCACTCAGTGGTGGTATTGATTGACAGTGGGTCTACCCACAATTTTGTGGACCCACAAGTCATTAAGCAGCTGAATCTAAGAATCGAGCCCAACGAAAGGCCCATGCGGGTGAGAGTAGCTAACGGACAGAAGATGCTATACACTCATAAATGTTCCAATTTTAAATGGACCATGAACGGTAAGTTGTTCGAGTTTGATTTGAGAGTGCTGAAGGCAGGGGGAGTGAAATTATTTTGGGAATGGACTGGGTCAATACAATAGCTCCAGTAGTGTTACACACTCGTCCTCACAGTATTTCATTCCTTAAGGAAAGGAAATTCATTACACTTTTGGGCAAGGAGGAGGAGGGACCGTTGGAACTTAAGGATGCTAAGGCCATTAAAAAACTATTGAGTTTGGGTCAGTGCATCTTCACAGCCCAACTGGTGGCAGAAACAACCCCACAAGAGCCCACGATTCCTAGGCCAATTCAATTGTTGATACAAAAATATTCAGAGGTGTTTCAAGAGCCTAAGGGGTTACCACCGACAAGGAAGAGTGATCATTCCATTGAACTATTGCCAGGGTCAAATCCAGTCAATCAAAGACCTTATAGGTACTCATACGAATAGAAAAATATTATCGAGAAGATGGTGAAAGAAATGTTGGCAGCCCAAGTGATTTCTCATAGTTCTTCTCCATTTGCTTCTCCAGTGATCTTAGTTAAGAAGAAAGATTCATCGTGGCGATTTTGTGTTGACTATCGCAAACTCAATGAGATCACTGTGAAGAATAAATATCCCATTCCAGTGGTGGAAGATCTGTTAGATGAGTTACATGGGGCGAAATTTTTCTCAAAATTGGACTTGAGGTCCGGCTATCACCAAGTTCGTATGAGGAAAGGTGATGAGTATAAAACGACATTTAGAACACATCATGGCTTATGGGAATTTCATGTCATGCCCTTTGGACTAACAAATGCACCTGCTACCTTCCAAGCTTTAATGCATGAAATCTTTGGGCCAATTTTAAGGAAGTTTGTTCTAGTCTTTTTTGACGACATATTAGTGTATAGTACCAAGCTGGACGAACACTTACGACACCTAGAGTTGGTGTTTGAGTTGCTAAAGAAAAACCAGTTGGTTGCCAAATACTCTAAATGCAGTTTCGCCCAAAGGCAGGTGGAATACCTTGGTCACATTATTTCAGGTGAAGGGGTTAGCACAGATGTGACTAAAATTGAGGCCATGGTGACTTGGCCTAGGCCCAACAATTTGAAGAGTCTAAGAGGGTTCCTAGGATTAACGGGTTACTATAGGCGCTTTATCAAGAACTATGCTGTGATAAGCAAACCCCTCACAGAATTGCTCAAGAAAGGAGCTTTCCAATGGACTGACCTAGCCAACAAGGCGTTCGAGGAACTGAAGAAGGCAATGGTAAGGGCTCCTGTACTTGGCTTGCCCAATTTCTCCCAACCTTTTATCATTGAAGTTGATGCCAGTGGGACAGGGATAGGAGCAGTGCTTATGCAGAGCAAGAAACCTCTTGCGTACCTCAGCCAAACTCTCAGCCCCAAGCATTTAGGCATGTCCTCCTATGAAAAGGAGCTGGTTGCGCTTTTGATGGCAGTGGAAAAGTGGAGACACTATTTACAGCCTAATAAATTCATCATCCGCACTGACCATTTCAGCCTGAAATACCTTCGTGACCAGAGGATAACAACAGCCTTACAACACAAAGGTATCACAAAATTGATGGGTCTTGATTATGAAATCCACTATAGGAAAGGTACAGATAATGCAGTAGCAGATGCCTTTGTCCCGCAAACATGAAAATTCAGGAGAATGCCATGGACTCTCTGTAACACAACCTAAATGGGTTGAAGAAATTGTGGGGAGTTACAACAATGATCCAGTGGTCCAACAGCTCATTGAACAACTGAGCTTAGATGCAGCCGCAGTACCAGACACCACTTATCAAAAGGGAATTCTTCGAAAAAATGGACAAGTATGGGTTGGAAGTAATGGGCATCTCAGGGAAAGACTTATTGAAGAAATACATGCCACTCTTTGGGGGGGGGGGACATTCTGGTATTCTTTCCACTCAACAAAGACTAAGATCAATTTTTTACTGGCCTTCATTATTGAAGGATGTCAAGGAAAAGGTGAAGGCTTGCGCGATTTGCCAAAGAAACAAAGGGGAAAATATTTCTTACCCCGGACTATTACAGCCACTGCCCATTCCCTCCAAAGCATGGGAGTATTTGACAATGGATTTCATCGAAGGCCTTCCAAAGTCACATGGGAAAGACACCATTCTTGTAGTCATCGATAAATTCACCAAATATGCACATTTCTTATCATTATCTCACCCTTTCAATACAGCTCAATTGTTCTTGGATAATATTTTTAAATTGCACGGAACTCCTTGCTCAGTGGTATCTGATAGAGACCCACTTTTTGTCAGTAATTTCTGGAAAGAATTGCTCAAAGGATTACAAATCCAGCAGAAACTCGGCACAGCATACGATCCACAAACGGATGGCCAATCAGAGAGGTTAAATAGATGTTTGGAGACATATTTACGTTGTATGACTGGGCACAAACCCAAGGATTGGAGCAGATGGATTCCATTAGCAGAATTTTGGTATAACACTAGCCACCATTCAGCAATTGGCATGTCACCATTCAAAGCTCTTTATGGATATGAACCTCCACAGCCCACCTTTGAGCTAGTGTCGCAGACAAAATAGAGACTGTGGATCAGTTGCTAAAAGAAAGACAACTCATGAGCAAGGTACTGCGTGATAACCTCCAGAAGGCACAAAATAGGATGAAGCAATTTGCCGATAAGAAAAGAAGTGATCGAAAATTTGAAATTGGAGATATGGTGTTCCTCAAGCTTCAACCTTACCGCCAAACGTCTGTGGCCATTCGCCAAAATCTGAAATTGGCGGCTAAGTATTTTGGACCCTACAGAGTCATCAGGAAAGTTGGACCGATGGCCTATGAACTCGAACTTCCGGCAGAATCAAAAATACATCATGTCTTCCATGTGTCGAAATTGAAGAAACAAGTTGGCTCAAATGTGTTGCCCTCAGTTGATCCTCCCTATTGCAACAATGAAGGTCAAGTCTTGACAGAACCAGTGGCAATCGTAGAACGACGCATGATCAAAAAAGGGAATAAAGCTTTCGTTCAAGTTTTAGTGCAGTGGGCTAATTTGCCTAAAGAAGAGGCCACCTGGGAAGACTACTCCTTTCCGAGCTCCCAATTTCCTAAGTTTGATCGACAACCCACCGGCAACGAGTAATGTTCTGAAGGGGAATGGAATGTTACGAAATTATACATTTCGTAACTTTAATTGTTCTTTTAGTCTTTACATTTTTAGTCCAGAAGTTTGTCTATTTTCAATTAATTGTCTAAGTCCCCAAATTAGCTAGTTGACTCAAGGGACACATGTTTTAGTCTAATTGCTTTGTCTAGATAATTCAAAAAGGGATGCAGCTGTCATATTCCACTATTTAGGGCAATGATTGTACAAGAATTGGGTGCTGAAAATACATGACATATTTCCCTTTTTGTTAATTTTTTATTTTCTGCTTAATTTCCTTGTCTTCAACGCAGCAATTGCTACATATAACCTTTCCCTTCTTATTTTGATACAATTGTTTATGTTCAGTACTTTAGAGTCTTACAATTGTTCAAACAATTGTTTATGTTCACTGTTCAACCTTTTTCTTTCGTGAATTTTGAATATGTATTAAATTTTACCTTTTATCTCTATGGAGTTATAATCCATGAACTTTATTTTTATTGTTTAATTGATTTAATCGATAAACCGTCCGTTAACAGTCCGATCCAATAGCAGATTATTATATTTATAGGCTGATAACAGATAAATCGAACCGTTAAATGTAAATATTCGTCCAATCCGCCGGACAGGCGGCCCTACTCTTCCGAATTAGAAAACTAGATTTCATGTTCTTTTGGTGGACGAAGTTGACGAGGGAGGTAAATGCAACTTAAAAAATTATGAGGGTGCAAAGCACAATGTGATCTAATTAAAAGGGGAAAATGATATTTATCCAAAATAGCAGGTACAATATCGAAAAGGAGCCAACGAACAATGAAGATACAAGTACAAACATTAGCCCCACAAGAACTGTGGCAATTGACAATGGAAAAACTGGGCGATGATTTATTAGCTCTGATAATCAATAGGATTCATGATCCTGCCTATAGAAAGTCCATTTCTCAAGTTTGTAAGCAATGGTTCAGAATTGAAGGCTTAACTCGATCATCTGTACGTGTTTTTGAACCCAATCTTCTCCTTAATTTCCTTCCAAGATTCCCTAATTTGCTCAAATTTGAATCATCCGAACATATCACAAATACCCATCTTGAAATCTTGGCTGAAAATTGCCCAAGAATCCAAGTTCTTAACCTTAGTTTCAAGAAAAAGAATAGATTTTTTGATGAAATGGATGAAAATTTAATCTTGGATGATTTTGATGAAAATGGTCTTTGTTTTATTGCAAAGATTTGTTCTTGTTTGAATACCGTTAATTTGAGGAAGAGAAGTGGAGTTGTGGATGCTGGGGTTGTTTCTCTTGTTAGCTTTTTGCCAAAGTTGATAGCTTTAGACTTAGGTTTTGGTGATAAGGTTAGTGATGAATCACTTAGAGTTATTGGAAATGCTAGATGCGCTTTGAAGAGCTTGAATTTACAGGGTTGTTGGTTAGTATCAGATGAGGGTTTGAAATCATTGGCAGAAGGGTGTCTTAGGATGAGTTTGAAGAAACTAATTCTTGCTGAATGTGATAGGATTACGGATCGCGGGGTGTTGAGTTTGATGCAAATGTCTTGCTTAGAGGAATTGGATTTGGCTGAATGTGGACCGAATGTGACTGATATTGCTGGTGAGGCAATTGCTTCGAGTGAGATTCTTAAGAGGTTGAACTTGTCGTGGCTTGTTAATGTATCTGATGCTACTGTTGTTGCTCTAGCTGAAGGTTGCAAGAATCTTAATGCTCTTAATTTAACTGGCTGTGAATTTGTCACTGGTGAAGGCGTTCGTGCTTTGACAAAACATAGGTCATTGAAAGAGCTCGTTTTGACTAGTTGTGAGAAGCTTAGCGGATATGATTTGGAAGAGTTGGTACTAGGATGCCAGACATTAGAATACATTGTGGTTGATAGAAGATTGAGGATGTGGGTTCGTATGGAAGTGCAGGATAATATAATGAGAGAACACTGTTGGATAGATTGGAAATAACAGATGAAACGGGAGTTGAATATCTCAGTTGATATGCATTGATCTGTTTTCAGGGTCCCCTCATTTCTTGGTACCTCTAAGCAGTTATTACTTCAGGTGCAATTTCTGCCCAGTTCCCATTATTTATTGCTGAAATGTTCCTTGTAGCAAAACAAATGTGTGTACTTTTTAATGAACTTAGATACCGTGCTATTGGCATGTGCTGCTTAATATTATGCATAGACATTTCAATTTGGAGAACGCATATAGCAGATTTTGGAGATATGGTAATTCAAGAATCTCTTCCTTAAGAGGAAGTAAGCAAAAAATGAAGGCCTTTGTTGAAAGTAAGACCACTTCCAATCTTTGTGGCCTGATATAGTTTCTCTTAGCTAACCTATTGTGAACACCAGTTGAAATTCTTTCGTAGAAAAAGGAAACAAAAATCAGCGGTCTGCAGCATCATGAACCATGCTTCAGTATAGGTTTCTTGTTAATCCCGGGTTATGCATGACGATGTCAGAATGCACAATTCCATCCTCCATATTCTGTAATTGTTGGAAAGCTGGTGAAGCTCATCTCGTGGAACATCAAGGGGGAATGACATCATGTACACCTTTGGAAAATTTCCCATTTTACTAGACTATTTAGGGGTGTAAATCATCTGACTTTCCAAATGCCACAACAAAAGCATATCTTGAAACCTCTTTCCTGAAAAGATTGTACTTGCAACTGTTCTGGGCAGTTTTTCCATGTTTCATAAGCTTCTTTGTGGTCTGGGTAACTGTTCATGAGTTCTCCTTTTTCTTTTTCTCTTATCCTTGTTAGTCAGCTCTCGGATATTGTGGTTGCTGGTTTCATTTTAGACCTAACTGTCCTCTCATATTTGAGAGAACAACTCCAAAGAGGTTTGGTTGAGCGTCAGTCTTTTAAGTAAGGAGTTTATCAAACCACCCGCCACAAGCTATTTCTCCATTTACTGCATAGAGTCTCTTCACCACTTTGGAGGGATGTATTAGGGGATACTGGCCAGGCAACTTTGTATGAATTAGTTGGCCTCTTGAGAAGTTTACTCCAAAATGAGCCTGTAGTTGGTCCAGTGTGAAAGGAGAAGCAGTTTGGTTTGCCCTTAACCTTTCAAATTTAAAATAAGGAAGCATGTGCTGTGTACCTCTTATGGGAATGATGACATGTAAAGTTTCTTTTAGGTGTAACAGGTCAAAGAAATTATGGGAAATTTATATGCACCGAAAACCAAACACATAAAAAGTATCTTCTGGTGGTAAGAATTGGGAATTGTATGGTTATATCAAGACATAGGGTCCAATAGAGGACGCAGCCATACTGAAACACTGTGAGCAACGCACCCTTAGGGTCTGGCCTATCAATCAATAAAGTATGTGCAAACCTTTGAGACTAGGATTCAACCCAACAAAGACAAAATCACTCTGTGATTTCTTTCCATCTGCCTAAACCGTAGTTGGCAGAGTTACTTGTTACCTGTGCTGGTGGGAGGTAGCGGGTATCCGTGGATAGTCGAGGCTTGCGCAAGCTGGCCCTGACACCATCATTATATAAAAAAAGGATCACTTTACTTCTGTTCACATGCTCATACCTGATAGGCGTTTTCAAATAAGATGACACATAGATGTTTCTAAAGACATGAAATATCGTTATGTTATGTGTAACTTGTACAGAATGTATTTGTCATTGTTTCTCGATTTTTCCTGATATTTGTTGCCTACTGATTCAAGTAAGATATACCACTAATATTTTGGTATCTTTTTCCAAGCTCTGCAACTTTTATATTTGTGAGTCTCATAGTTCTATTTCGTTTTCTGCAGAGGAATAGGTCGATTGCATTCTTCTGTTCCTAGAATTAAATGCAGTAGAACATTTCCAAAGGGCTTTTGTTGCAAATGCAAAGCTGACATGGACTCTATTTTGACAGGTTTCAACTGTTGAAGAATGAATGAGAAATGGAGTAGCAATATTTGCAAAATCTGGGTTTTGCTAATTACTGCTTGTTGCTCCTGGGAACAAGTATATTTTACGCTGGAAAATGGAAGTATTGGGCACTGCAAAATAGTCGGACTTGAGAACTATTGCCACACCAATGTGTAGGGAATGGTTTCCACAATATGATATACTCCATGAATTACCACGGCATTTGTACAATTGATTCTTGTTGCTCCAGTAACAAGTACATTGTTCTGTACGTGAGAAAATGCAAGTATTGGGCACTGCAAAATAGTCGGACTTGGAGAGCTGTTGCTACGCCAAGTGTGTAGGGGTGGTGGCGAAGTTGCTTTCTATTGGTAATCAGATCTTCTAGCTGAATTCACCATGGGAGAGAATGCAAATCGGGCGTGTCTACCGTGATGCAGCGGTAGCTGTTGTTTCCAAGGCAGATATGTATCCATATTTACTAATAAATAGAGTCAGGCTAAAATTATGGTATCAACAGTCATATGGCCAACTCCAGCTTGCTTGGTGTTGGTGTTGTGGCATAGTTGTTGTAATGGTCCACAAAATTCAGTTGAAGTCTTGACTTCTACTGTTACATTATTTCCCTGGTTCGTCCTCCCTGGGTCTCGAGGCCCTCAATTATGACCTTCTGTTGATTTCTTGGAGACATTTTCAGCTCTGTGTTAGATCGGTAACGGCTTTATTTGCTTATTTACTCATTTAATTATTTTCAGCTATATTTTGTTTTCCTATTTGGTTCGCTGAAACAACGTTAGACTCTCTTTATCATTTTGAATCTTATTGCTAATGTGGAATCTAAGATGAACCTAATGTTGTCAATGACTCAAAGGGTCGCTTAAGTCATAAGTTAGGTGATTACAGTTGTAGGGTGTTCATAAAAACCCGAAAAACCGAAAACCAAACCAGACCAACCAAAAAAACGACCTTCTTGGTTTGGTTTTGGTTTTGAATTTTAAAAACCGATCAAATTTGGTTTGGTTTTGGTTTTAATAAGAAAAAAATCGAACCAAACCGACTATAGGAGTAGCTATTTTAAATTTATTATTACACCTATATATATGTATATTTTTATACAAAGTTTCAAAAATTTAATGGTAAATGTTAATAGTTTACACTTTTAGTATAGTTCTTTACCTTTACATTCTAGTTTGATTGGTAATTTTCTTTTGTTAAGTGTAAGAATCTATTTCGTGTTAAAAATAATATATTTTTAATTGAGTCCTTAAATTATTCATCACTATTTGGTTCAATTATCATCAATATATCTTGGTAAATAATAGATTTCTCAAAGGGCAATTGATTTGATAGTGTTACGTTGAAAATGTGGTCGCCGGAATATGTGTTTGTTAGTGTATGTCTTAAATTTAAGAAAAAATCGACAAATAACCGAAAAAACCGAAAACCCGACAAAACCCGACATAAACCGAATCGAGAAAAAACCGACTTAATTGGTTTGGTTTGATTCTAATATTTGAAAAACCAACTTACTTGGTTTGGTTTCTTTTAAGGGAAAAATCGATCCAAATCGAACCACGAACACCCCCAGTTGTAGTGCATCAGTTCAGGTATTAAGGCACGTGCTATCACTTACTATTGTCTTTCACTACTAACAATCTATATCACACAAGTATGCTTTTTTCAATTCTTTTGTCCATCTAATTGTTATTTGTTCTTATAGTTATTATTCTTCAATTACCTATATAAATTTTTAATCTTTTTTCCCTCATTTGTGACTTTCTTCGTTACAATTGGTGCTTTATTTTTATATTTGCATTGCACTTAAAGCTTCAAAAGACCTCTAAAATATCTTTGTCGCAACTCCTTTAAACTTAATACTTACATAATACTTACGAAAGTTATTTTAAATTAATTTTCTGTATTTCCTCGCTTAAATCTCGGTGAACTAAAAAAGCTCAAAACTTTCACTTAGCTGTAGGTTAGTACTTTTCTTTAATTGGGTTGTGTAACTTAAGAAAATGTGAATTTTGAAAAACAGTACAATCATATGAAATGGCACTTGAATTTGAAAACCTTTCTTAAATTTGTCAATACAAAAAAAAGGTTCTTAAGTTTAAATGCTTCTATCCATGAGAAAAAAGACTCTTAAGAGCCCGTTTGGCCATAAAAAACTTGCACTTTTTTTCAGTTTTTTTTTTTTTTTTTACTTTATTTCGAAATCAATGTTTGGCCATAAAATTTTTCATTTTAATTTGAAGATGAATTTTGAAATTCTTTGAAAAGATCGCTCACAAAAATTAAACTACAATCTATATTGAAAAAAAATGTTGACTACAAAATTTTCTCTTCATCTACAAAATTTCTTCAAAAAAACTACAAATAAACTACAAATCAGTTTAAGTATTGAATAAAGTTGTATTGTTTTTAAGAGTATCTACAAAATTACTATATTTATACTACAATTTATGTTGAAAAAAAATGTTGACTACAAAATTTTCTCTTCACCTACAAAATTTCTACAAAAAAAAAACTACAAATCAATTTAAGGTTTCAGGGTGAAGCTTAGTCTTTAAAAGTTGAATCTTTGAATCAAAGTCAGAAGAAGGGGTAGGGGATTGATTAGTTTCAGGGGTGATTTGAAGGTAAATATTGTATAGAATTTTGAGATGGACATCAACATTTGACACGCCTGAGGCTGGGCTTATGCTTCTCTTCTCCAACGGAAAAATTGAGAGCCCTAGATTGCTTTTGCTTACATACCAAAAAGGCAGTAGCTCTATGTCGTAAAAGCATAAGAATATGATTTTGAATCCGAAAAGAAATATGAAAGCGTGGGCCCTACTATTTCGTACGTAACAAAATTGCAATTTCCTTCTCTGTATTTTTTGAGAAGAAGAAGGAATGGAGAAGAGGAAGAAAGGGGAGGGGAAAAACGGACACCTTTAATTAAGGAGTAAAACGTGGGATATATGGACACCTTTAATTAAGGAGTAAAAACTGCCCATTAATTAGACCCTTAATTAAGTATGGTATAGGATTGATAATTTGGTATACTAAGTATAATTAAATCAAACCTTAAATATTGAGGGTAATAAGGTTTCCTATGTGGCATAGGAATATAAAAATTCCTTTAATTAATGTGTAAAATTTTGTTCCTCTTAGCCAGTGGCCAAAGTAAGAAGTTATTTTTCCAGGTATGAATGTGTAATTTCACAAACTATAGGGGGTTAACACGATTGCTATATAAAATAGTAACTCTATTTTTGTGCCTGGTTATTCAAGAAAAAGAAACCTTTGCAGCATCCTCGTATCCTGATTGATTAGGAGTTGATGTGTCCCCTGAAAATCTGAACGAAAATTGTGATAGCAAAAGAAAACTAATGGCGTATTCGTCATCTTCAGTTCGAGCATTTAGTTCATTACTCTACAGATTCTCTAATGGGGTTTATCTTAAACCCCACCATTCTTGCACTCTCAAAAGTATATACTAGCAAAAGTCAAATATATATAGCTTTTGTTGATTTGGGTTTTGTTTTTCTATTTGAATGAGCTAGGATTTGATTATTTTCTTGCAGGTGCTTTATTCTTAAGTGGGAAAATTTCATCTTCTTCATGTTATTCTTCATGGGTCTTGCCTTTGGAACTTCAATCTTGCAATTCAGTGAGAAAGATTTGGACTTTTTCTCCTCTCTGTATGGGCAGGCGCTCCTCCAAAATTGCTGGCAGAAAGGTATACAACTTCTCTTGCTATTTACATGTAAATCATGTAGTTCTAATTTGTTTTTTTTTATTTGTAGTTATTAATTCTTTGATACAAATAATGTTACCTCTGTCCAATTAAATGAATTGGGATTAGAGAAATTAACTCAAATTTGAATTTTTCTGATCGACTTGATTTCATCTGCCAAAGAAAATTGTTTTGCTAATGAAATATGTAACTTTCTGGGGCTATCTTAACTTTAATGTGTTCAGAAATTTATACTCCGTATTCGGTAAACCTATGTAGAATATTAAGTAGCTCGTACTGTGGAAGCCTTATGATTCCATTTCTATGTTGTGTCAGCATTCTAGGAAATGTTTGTTTGTGTGATTTTGACGTCTCTGTGATCAATTTTGACCTCATTTGACTATAGTAGTAGAAAAGTTGACGTATTTCATGAGGATAGATTGTCCAACAATGGATAAAGTAGCCAATATTTATGTGTAAACGATGTAGTCTGTTTTATCTTTATAATTCACATGATTGTCCTGCAACAGGGTTTGGATTAGCGCAGTACTAGTGTTATGGATATTGGTTTAAGTCAATGTTTCTTACAGGTTGTCAAAGGCGCGCTTAAAGCGCGCTTAAGCCCTGAAGCGAGGCTCAAAACATGTTGAGCGCTTCGCCTCGTTTTGTGGGCGCTTTAGTGTCGCATCAAAGCTCTAAGGCATACTTTTCCTTGCCAATGAGTGTAATCCAGAAAAGGCGACCTTAAACAATTGAAATTTCACTTTACCGTGAATTTTTTTCAATATCTTTGTCCATATATTTGTTATTCATGCTTATAATGATTAGTCTTGGACTACATGCATATTTTTACTTTTTCTCCCGTTGCGCCTTTTTTCATTAAAGCGCACGCTTTATTTGCGCTTTGCGCTTAAAGCCCCAACGGACCTTAGAGCTTTTTTGCGCTTTTCGCCTTTGATAACACTGGTTTCTTATGTGCAGACTGCTCAGGATCTTAAGAAGGCAAAGTTGTACTCAAAAATCGGGAAGGAAGTTGTTTCTGCGTAAGTTATGGAACAGAAAAACTAGTTATTCTTCTAATCAAGCTTGAAATGAATGGAAGATACCCTTCTTCTCTTTGAGGTCTTAAGGTCCCAAATGGAACCAATGTCCTGACGTCTATTTCTCTGACTGTTATGATTAACTGGTGGAAATGAGTACTGTTTCCTGAATGACCAGGGTTAAGAAAGGTGGTCCCAGTCCAATATCTAATACGGCTCTCGCTGCTCTCATTGAGAAAGTTAAGGAGCTTGATATACCCAAAGACATTGTTGAGCGCAATATTAAGAGAGCTTCAGAAAAGGGTCAGGAAGCTTTTATCGAGAAGATCTATGAGGTATTGAGACATTTAAACTTACATGCATTTGTTATCTAATAATCAACCATGTTTACACATCACCTTTTTGCTACTCTCTTGATTATTGCAATTTAATGAACTTTGAACCCCTGCTGTATACTCAGGTATATGGTTATGGTGGAGTTGGTATCATCGTTGAGGTCTTAACAGATAAAGTAAACAGGTCAGTGGCAGCAGTTCGAGAGGTGGTGAAGGACTGTGGTGGGAAGATGGCAGATTCAGGATCCATTATGTTCAAGTTCCGACGCGCTCGGGTTGCTAATGTAAAAGTCACTGATGTCGACCGGGACCAGCTCCTAACAATTGCTTTAGATGCTGGTGCTGAAGATATAATTGAACCTTCAATGGATGACTATGATACAGAAGCAAATTCATCTGAAAGGTTTGTAATTCTTTGCCCTTGTATCTTTATTGAGGCTTCTCTTACGCAATATTTCATGAACAAAGTAATTTGTAGTTTAAGGGACAGAATAGCTGCTCCACTTCAATTATTTGTAGATCAATCATTGAGAAGGTTTGTTCAGCCTCATTCATCATATAACCTATCCGGACTTTGCTTTCTTAGTTTCAAAGGTTTTCTTGATATTCTTTAGGACAATATCCAGAACCAAAAAGGTATATATCTTGATATTGCAGAATTATGTTATTTAATACTAGGTGATTTTTTCCATCTGTCCAAGCCTTGGTAGATGGAGTTACTTGGTACCTGTTGCTGGTGGTAGGTGGCAGGTACCCCGTGTAATTAGTCGAGGTGTACGCAAGCTGGCCCAGACAGACACCACATTTACCCCTCTCTCTCTCTCTCTATATATATATATATATGTATATATATATATATATATATATATATATATATATATAATACTAGGTGATTTCTTTCCATCTATCCAAGCCTTGGTGGATAGAGTTACTTGGTACCTGTTGCTGGTTGGAGGTGGCAGGTATCCCGTGTATACCTGTTGCTTGGTACCTGTTGCTGGCCCGGACACTATTAAAAAATAAAAATTATATATATATATANAATCATGGAGAAAACTTTGTATCAAAAACTCAAATAATTTCCTTTAATTGCAGTAGAAATAATGCTTTTGCTGAAAAGGTTAGAAATGTGAGCCAATTTGAAAAATGTGCAAGAGTTTAGCTGAAATAGCCTTTTGGGGAAATTTCAGATTTATTGTGCCGTTTTTTTAAAAGAGAGAAACTTGTTGAGCTCTGGATTCTTTCTTTTTTGATTGAGACACTGACATTTAGCATACTTCATATCAATCATGGAGAAAACTTTGTATCAAAAACTCAAATAATTTCCTTTAATTGCAGTAGAAATAATGCTTTTGCTGAAAAGGTTAGAAATGTGAGCCAATTTGAAAAATGTGCAAGAGTTTAGCTGAAATAGCCTTTTGGGGAAATTTCAGATTTATTGTGCCGTTTTTTTAAAAGAGAGAAACTTGTTGAGCTCTGGATTCTTTCTTTTTTGATTGAGACACTGACATTTAGCATACTTCATGATGCAATGTTTAAATCATTGTACCAGAAACTGAAAAACAGATGATGATTTTAACCAAAAAGCTTTAGAAATGAGAAATGCAAGACTTGCAATCGAAAACAATATACCCTACTGCTCTTTCCTTTCGTGGAACTGGACCAGATTCTGCTCTTATGGTTCTTTCAGGCATATATGTTGTTATTGCTAAAGAAACCTTGTTAAGACTTTTTGTTCATGAGTTGATTCTCTTTCAGTGCTGATATTAAATTCCGGTAACTCTTTACTTTTGTTTATTGCCAAGTCTACTGTTGCCTTGCGTTGGCGTACCTACTTTATTTCAACTGCAATTTCATCGTTGCTGATGAATTCTTTTCAACTGGTAACCCTCACCCCAACACCCTTTCTCCCCAGGGGCCAATAGTGGTCGTTCCAACCCCCCCTCTAACTCCCAACCTCTTGGTTGGCAGTGGAGGAGTCTCAGCACAGCGCAACCCTCTCTTGTGTGAGAATGACTAATGTCACACTGGATGGAGTCCATCCGATGGACTAATATCACTGCATTTGACTATTCATTTTTTTTTTTGGACTTTAGTAGGGTTTACAAAGTCGTGTCTTCAGCGGAGAACTATCCAGTGATATTATCAAAGCTACAAGAGGAAGGAATAAAATTTGAACCTGACAACGGATCTGAGCTACTTCCTATAACTCCAATTGAGGTCCGTAAGTACAGCGTATCAGAATTTTATTCTTCTAATTTTGTAGCGCTTGTTAATATTTTAAGAGGGAAATAGTATTGTTACCATGAAATTTTACAAGAGGAATTTAATAGCTGATGTGTGAATAGTGACCTTTTGTAAGTATAATCATAGAAATAGTCCACGAGTTTATGCAGCGGTGGCTATAAGACATCTGCATCATATAGCTTTCTATTTCTGATAACTCAAATCAATCTCGTGAGAGGGTGGGGCGAAGGGATTAATGATATTTTGCAGTTTTGAGTACTATGACTGATCTCCACATAAGGTAAATACTTACCTGCACCGTGTGTTTACACCAAGTGTAGTCTATAGGAGATAATCTAGAATTTCAAAAGCATTGCCCAATTAAAGAACAAAGACACACCATCGGAATAGCTAGCTAGATTATTAGGTATATTTAATTATTAATTTAGATTATGTGCAAAAATAATGAAAGTTAACTATGATTAAGCACTAATAGTTATAGTTAGATTAAGTGACAATTGTCATTTAGTTATTGGATTGGTGTAAACACCCGGTGCGGGTAAGTTTTTAACGCTTTAATGCCGTATTTGTTGTTCTTGTCTTTCTCTTCTCCTTCTCGAGTTTATAACGTCTATTTTCTACAACTTATGCTTTTTGTTAAAATCTTTTTCTTATTTGCCTTTTTCTTTTTTGTTCTTTCAAACTAATGATTCTTTTTTCCTTCTAATATGTGAGTCTTCTTCCTCTTCTACTTTTTATTCTAGGCTTCTCTTTTGCTTCTAGCTACTGCTCTCTTGTTACAGTTACTAAAGTAATCAAATATGAAATTGTATGCTGCAAATTAATTCTTTTTATGGTTGGTTAATTGAAAATAAAAAAATTAATTTTGTGACTTGAGTTATCTTTTCATGGCCTTGTTGAAGATATATCTTTTATCATGCTTACTTTGAGTTGGACTAATATCGTCATTATGGTATATAAAATGCTACAATTAGTAGTTTTTGTTGCAATATGATTATCATAAGTACAAGTTCCAAATATGTTTGGCAAGTTTTTATTTTCGGTAGACGGTGTGCTTCACTTCAAAGAAGCGTTCACTTTTCACTTATCCCTTTTTGCTTCATGCCCCACGCACCTCTTTTATTTTTTGCGCTTTTCACTTTTATTAAAAAACTGTTGGAGAGGTTGGAGTAGTACGACTTACCAAACTATTCAACATTGTATTAGAGAGTGGAAAGATGGCAACTGAGTGGAGAAAGAATACATGATCCCAATATAAACAATGAGGAGATATTTAAAGTTTTACAAACTATCGTGGCGGTAAACTTATGAGTCATACAATGAAACCTTGGGAACGAATGAAAGAGCATAGACATAGAGAAATTACAAGAATGACAATGAACGGCTGTGGATTTGTGCTCGGTAGATCTACAATAGAGGCAGTGTTATCAAAGGCGAAAAGCGCAAAAAAGCTCTAAGGTCCGTTGGGGCTTTAAGCGCAAAGCGTAAATAAAGCGTGCGCTTTAATGAAAAAAGGCGCAACGCGAGAAAAAGTAAAAATATGCATGTAGTCCAAGACTAATCATTATAAGCATGAATAACAAATATATGGACAAAGATATTGAAAAAAATTCACGGTAAAGTGAAATTTCAATTGTTTAAGGTCGCCTTTTCTGGATTACACTCATTGGCAAGGAAAAGTATGCCTTAGAGCTTTGATGCGACACTAAAGCGCCCACAAAACGAGGCGAAGCGCTCAACATGTTTTGAGCCTCGCTTCAGGGCTTAAGCGCGCTTTAAGCGCGCCTTTGACAACACTGAATAGAGGTTGTATTTTTGCGAAGAAGATCGTTGAAAATTTATAGGGAGAGGAAGAGGGAGACATACACAATACTTTAGCCTACAGAAGGTGTATGATAGAGTGCTAAGAAAAATCCTTTGATGGGTATCAAAAAAGAAAGCAATCATTATATGCGCTGAAAAGCTGAATTTTATCTTTTCAATTATTACAGTAGATATTTCTGCTTGTTGTAGTTATTACTTTTGTTTTCGGCTGCAGGTAGATGATGAGGCTATGGACTTGAACAAAGAACTCATGTCTAAATTACTTGAACTTGATGATGTTGATGCTGTGTACACAGATCAGAAGTATTAGCTTATTTGCCACTTAACAGTGGCTGCGCCTAACAACTGGTTGTTGAGGCTGTTGATGAGTGATAGCAACATATATTCGGAACTGTAGAATCCTGGAGTCATGAGCAAATCTAAGCCTTTGTCACCCTATCAATCTTACTTCCACAAAGAATATGCCCATTTTCTCAGCTTAGGAACTCATACCATGGTTTGGCCCGAATTTCTCATAGGGTTTTGATCTTTTAAATGATAGAATGAATCTGTAGATTCCATTTTTTATACGTGTTAACCCAAAAAATATGTTACAGTCTTTGTTCCCCCTTTATTCCTTTTATCAGTAAAATGGATGTGCTTCGCCATGTTACAACTGTCCCTTGAAAGAGATCATCTGAAGTCTGAAGTCATTGCCAATAATATATCCTGTAGCTCTCTCTCTCTCTCTGTATCAGTATGATGAATCTCATATCCAATTTTCCAATTTCTGCTGCAGAAGTATATTATTAACATTTGATTCATATTTCATGTGTTACTGAATCTCCCTTTTAGGAACTTGTTTCTAGAGATGAATTTCCCTATGTGCATTTAAAATGTAAATATTGAAGCTTCTGGTTTAGTGCATTAAGATGTCAGGTTTTATTACTTTTATTTTGGAAAACGACTTGAACCGATGCTGGCATAGTGGATTATGATGTTAGTTTGAATTGATAAAATGACACAAGTGATTGCAACTCCACAATATCAAAAGACACAGTAAAAGCTTTTCCTTTCCTTGTTGAATCTTGATGTCTTAATCAAAGGTTCATATGTGTATTACTGATAAATGATCATTGCAGAGAATATATATGCAATCATAGTATTCATGTATATAATATAATTAGTGTGCACAAAATACTACATTAGCAATTCAAGAGCTGGAAAATGTAATATCTTATTATATGACTTGTAAGGTGTATTTTGGCTATCATGTTTCTATTTCTTTGGAACCCAGCAACCATGCAGTCCATAGGGAAGACCATAAGGAAATTTTGCTCTTGCAATTTCTTCAAATGTGGATCCATCCAGTATTAGAGCATAACCTTCTCCATTTTTGTCACTGATCATTGAGATTACAACTCCTGCATATTTCCACAATATTATGCCTTGTTAATATATATGTTGCAATTCAATTGACTGTTCTGTTCTGTTTTTTTTTTTTTTTTTTTTTTTTGTCGTTTTATACTATAGTATTCACTTTCATAAAGCTCTCGCTATGTGCGGGATCTAGAGGAAAATGCTGAACCACATTGGGTTTGGGTTTATTATAAATAGATGTATTGATAAATAATTACCGTCGTCTTCCTCGGTTGCACCAGGTCGAGCCACAAAGAATGGTTCTGAAGGCACAGCACCCTCATCGTACCAATTCTTGGCCTTTTTCTCAAACAAGTCAATCTGCAAAATATTTTGAATCATTGAAATCAGTTAATAGATAAAAAATTAACAGTTGTAAGCACTACTAGTGGAGAAAAGAAGAGAATGAAGTGACCTTTGTAAGAGTGTTGGGGAAATTACAAGGTCTCTTAGCACCACAAGCATAAGCATATCTATATTTCTTGCCTAAATAACAAGGATTAAAGCTACACATATCCATGCCTCTCCCATGTTCATTTGGGTCCAATGCTGCTTCTAACTCTCCATATGGACTCCCATCTAATGCTATTCTGAATCTCCCAACCCTGTCAATAAACACCATTAGTCAAGAACACCCTTGGTGCATTTGGAAACATAGTAATGATTTTTTTTTTTTTTTTTATAAATATTTTCCTTTTGGTCAGCCATCCTGCTTGTATTTGATTCCGCTGGTTCGGCTAATTTGGATTCGTGTCAGTAAATCCAGTAAGAGCATACAACACTACATACCAAAAGGTTTTTCATATTCAAGAATCGAGCCTGAACTTTTAGGCTAGAGTGGAGAGATTTCAATTATCCTAACATACCCCTCAGTGGTGAGGTTTATATTTAAGATGTCCATCAATCATCTTCGCGAATAAGGTTCAAATTGAGTTTCTGAATTACAAATATAAATAAACCTAGACGTGCAAAAGAATATGGTATCTTCAAAGTTCCAAAACTTTTGTTCCAGAGAACAGGACAATACAGTCCATTTTTACGTTCAAAGTTAAAAAAAGGAAAGAGTCAAGATAGTCCTCTTGACATCACCGGAACTTGGATTTTACATGAGAAAACAACAATGAAATTCCCTTTCCCTTAGACCCTTCTTGGATTTTAGGATGTTTGACTTTGTACGATAGTTTAAATTCAAAATGGTTGCTATCCATGCATGCAAATTAAACTAAGTACTCTAGTAGATTAAGATTAGGGTGGTTTTCAAGACGTCTTTCTTCCTTGTTTGACCCAAGTAGACGACATGCTCTGCTTGTCTATAGGAGCGTACAAAAGAAACCTGACAAACCGCACCAACCCGATAATCCAAGTCAAATCGAGAAAAAAAACTGATTATGGTTTGGTTTGGTTTGATTTGATTTGGTGTTAAAAAAAAAAAAACCGACCATAATTGGTTTGGTTTAGAAAGTCAAATCGAAACCAACCAACCCGACATTACATGTATAAAAAGTTTAGATATACTTATATAAATATACTTATTGTGATGTAATTTATAAATATTTCTTAGACTTTTTCATATCTTTTTAGGTATTATTTCAAGGTTAGACTTAGAACTTTTGAATGTTCCAATAAGTTAACAAAAGCCCAAACCAAAATCAAATTAATACTAATTCTAACAAAAGACATTCAATTCGATACTACGAACGACAATGTATTGAATATCTATTTTTTGTTTTGCAATAATTTAGATAAAAATGCATAACCTATTTTTATTTTTTCTTAGCGTTTAGTCATGTAATTAATACTCCCTTATTAGTCTACTTATTTTAGCATGACTTAGTACTTTCAGATTATGTTTATTTTTATTATGGCATTTTAATTAGCAATATTTATATTACATAATTTCATTGTTTTTATTGTTGGATATTTTAGGATAATGCCATGACACATCTCATATTTTTTATTATTTTCTTGAATAATACCTTATATAGTTGTATCCTACTAGGATTAAAAAAATATTTTGGGCACAAGTTATATGTTTTGTGCTTCGAAGTTTTTACCGAAAAAAACCGAAAAGCCCCGAATAAACCGAAAACTAGGGGTGTACAAAGGAAACCGACAAACCGCACCAACCCGATAATCCGGTTCAAACCGAGAAAAAAACCTGACTATGGTTTGGTGTTGGAAAAAAATACCCTGACCATAAGTGGTTTGGTTTGGATTAATTAAAGAAAGTCAAACCGAGACCAACCAACCCGACATTACATATATAAAAAATTTAGATATATTTAATATATAAATATACTTATTGTGATGTAATTTATAAATATTTCTTAGACTTTTTCATAATTTTATCTTTTAAGGTATTATTTCAAGGTTGGACTTAGAACTTTTGAATGTTCCAATAAGTTTTGTAGCTATTAATATTAGTAACTTAAATAATTCTAACAAAAGCCCAAACCAAAATCAAATCAATACTAATGCTAACAAAAGACATTCAATTCGATACTACGGACGACAATGTATTGAATATTTATTTTTTGTTTTGCGATAATTTAGATAAAAATGCCTGACCTATTTTTTATTTTTTCTTGAGCGTTTAGTCATGTAATTAATATTCCCTTATTAGTCTACTTATTTTAGCATGGCTTAGTACTTTAGATTATTTTTATTTTTATTATGGCTTTTTAATTAGCAATATTTATATTGCATAATTTTATTGTCTATGTTGTTGAATATTTTAGGATAATTCCATGACACATCTCATATTTTGTATTATTTTCTTGAAAAATACCTTATATAGTTGTCTCTTACTAGGATTAACGAAATATTTTGAGCACAAATTATATATTTTGTGCTACGAAGATTTTACCAGAAAAAAACCCGAAAAATCAGAATAACCCGATAACCCGAAAGAAACCGAGATTGAAAAACCCGACTTTTATTGGTTTGGTTTGGTCTTTAGATTTATTTACCCTACACAATTGGTTTGGTTTGGTATTTGCAAAATCGGAACCAACCCGACCTATGTACACCCCTAGCGAAAATCTGAGAAAATCCGAGATTGAAAAACCCGAGTTTTATTGGTTTGATTTGGTCTTTAGATTTAATAACCCGACCCAATTAATTTGATTTGACAATCGCAAAATCCAAACTAACCCGTACCTATGCACACCCTTACTTGTCTATATAGAAAAAGATTTACTTACGTACGCTAATGCATAGTGTGAAGAATTTTACAATATTAACGTAGTTTAAATATATTGTAACGAGTTATCTGTTTTAATATTTTCTAAGTTGTTATATATTTTATGGACGGTTTACATATATTTACCTTGGATAAAATATTCACCATTCACTGTATAAAAGTTAAACTTTCTAGAAAAGCATTGACTCTCTGTATAAAATGCTATCAACAACAAAATTGAAAGCCTTTGTCAAGTTTGTGTAATTGTACCTAGCATCGGGCAAGACGTCCTCGCCGTTGAATGACCGAAGATTCTCAAGCCGGAGCTTGTCAAGGATGGTGGTGTCGGCGCTATGTTCACAGCAGTCTGCAATAACAGCAGTAACTCTGCCATCTTCATCTTTTTCCTCGTATGCATTTATGAAGTGGAATGTCACAAATAATGGCACTTCCACACTTGCCACCTTTATAAATTCCAAAAATAAATAAAATATCCCAAAAAAAATAATAATATTCAATCTAATAATTAAAGTGAGAGGACTTACAATATTTCCACTGGCTTTACACATTACATGCATGAAACCTTTAGAATGAGGGTGCCACTCAAACTTGTAAAGTGGTGTGGGTTCAGCCTTTAATAAATTTTGAGCACAATACCTTAGTGGCATTTCCGGCACAATAATGTAATGTTCCGTCACTGGGAACGAATGGACCCATCCTGGAGCAGGTCCACCTCTACAACTCACTCTCCCTATATACTTCCTCTCATTTGTTCCTTGTTCCATTCTCACTACCAAATATCCAGGGTTAATCAAATCTGGTATCAACGTCCAAAATTCACTGTCTGTTACAATTGGATGAGCCGAATGTATCAACCCACCTAATGAGTCACTAAACTCGAATTTCCCTATTGTGTCAAGTGTGTCCGGATCAATTATTATCGATCCTTTTATTGTCTCCGTTAGGCAAACGACTCGGCCGTCCCCGAGCTTAACGACTCCGGTGTTGGCGTTATCGGTTAGGGACGCGCCGGAGAGTAATTTGGCCATGTCACCAATGTAGGATAGGAAATTGTCTGGCTTAGGTACTTCGGAAAATTCTCTGTAACAAATTTTGTTGTTGTGTTTTGCTGCTTTGTATGCCTCCGATTCGATTTGCCTGTGACCCATTATTAGCCGTCCGTTTTCGAAATGAAGACGGACTAAGGTGGCGTAGCCGTCGAAAAG